TGACTGATTTTATCGACTGGACGAGGCCACATGACAATGTCAAATACCGCATCCCCCCACACCCCCGCCCCACCCCATCCCCTTTCTTCGTTCATATCATATATAGGGACTCTATTCTTTTCGAGGCGGACAAGGACAGCTGTCTAGTCTTTCGGATGGGACGAAAAACCGAGGTCCCGTGTATACATTGGAGTGGATGTAAAAGATCCCTTTGACAGATGGAATTCGATATAAGAGTAGGCCGTAGTGCGGCTGTCCGGGCAAAATTTCCCTCATCGCACAGTGTATGGCGTCTGCCCGTCTTCATTAGCCCAGTTCCAAGCAGAACAGTAGGACGTTAAAACCCCATTTCATTTCTTTTCATTTCTTGAAACTAGTTGGGAAGCCCCCCGGTCCCTACCCCATGCCCCCGGCTCCTTCAGCTATGGCTACGAGCATGATTTGCTACTATATTATCTTAGCCCGCTGCCACCGCTGCTTAATATTGAGCGACTTGTTTATTCGACTGAATTATTCGACTGGATTATTCGACTGAATTATTCGACTGAACTATTCGACTGAACTTTTCGACTGAATTATTCGACTGGTTTATTCGACTGGATTATTCGACTGAACTAACTGACTGGTTTTATCGACTGGGCGAGGCCACATGACAATGTCAAATACCACCCCCCCCCCCCCGCCCCACCCCATCCCCTTTCTTCGTTCATATCATATATAGGGACTCTATTCTTTTCGAGGCGGACAAGGACAGCTGTCTAGTCGTTCGGATGGGACGAAAAACCGAGGTCCCGTGTCCACATTGACGTGGTCGTAAAAGATCCCTTGACAGATGGAATTCGATATAAGAGTAGGCCGTAGTGCCGCTGTCCGGGCAAAATTTCCCTCATCGCACAGTGTATGGCGTCTGCCCGTCTTCATTAGCCCAGTTCCAAGCAGAACAGTAGGACGTTAAAACCCCATTTCATTTCTTTTCATTTCTTGAAACTAGTTGGGAAGCCCCCCGGTCTCTACCCCATGCCCCGGCTCCTTCAGCTATGTCTAAGAGCATGATTTGCTACCATATCATCTTAGCCCACTGCCACCGCTGCTTAATATTGAGCGACTTGTTTATTCGACTGAATTATTCGACTGAACTATTCGACTGGTTTATTCGACTGAATTTTTCGACTGAATTATTCGACTGGTTTATTCGACTGGATTATTCGACTGAACTAACTGACTGATTTTATCGACTGGACGAGGCCACATGAAAATGTCAAATACCTCATCCCCCCCACCCCCGCCCCACCCCATCCCCTTTCTTAGTTCATATCATATATAGGGACTCTATTCTTTTCGAGGCGGACAAGGACAGCTGTCTAGTCATTCGGATGCGACGAAAAACCGAGGTCCCGTGTGCACATTGGCGTGGACGTAAAAGATCCCTTGACAGATGGAATTCGATATAAGAGTACGCCGTAGTGCCGCTGTCCGGGCAAAATTTCCCTCATCGCACAGTGTATGGCGTATGCCCGTCTTCATTAGCCCAGTTCCAAGCAGAACAGTAGGACGTTAAAACCCCATTTCATTTCTTTTCATTTCTTGAAACTAGTTGGGAAGCCCCCCGGCCTCTACCCCATGCCCCGGCTCCTTCAGCTATGTCTAAGAGCTTGATTTGCTACCATATCATCTTAGCCCACTGCCACCGCTGCTTAATATTGAGCGACTTGTTTATTCGACTGAATTATTCGACTGGATTATTCGACTGAACTATTCGACTGAAGTATTCGACTGAACTATTCGACTGGTTTATTCGACTGAACTTTTCGACTGGTTTATTCGACTGGATTATTCGACTGAACTAACTGACTGATTTTATCGACTGGACGAGGCCACATGAAAATGTCAAATACCTCATCCCCCCCGCCCCACCCCATCCCCTTTCTTCGTTCATATCATATATAGGGACTCTATTCTTTTCGAGGCGGACAAGGACAGCTGTCTAGTCGTTCGGATGGGACGAAAAACCGAGGTCCCGTGTATACATTGGAGTGGACGTAAAAGATCCCTTTGACAGATGGAATTCGATATAAGAGTAGGCCGTAGTGCCGCTGTCCGGGCAAAATTTCCCTCATCGCACAGTGTGTGGCGTCTGGCCGTCTTCATTAGCCCAGTTCCAAGCAGAACAGAAGGACGTTAAACCCCATTTCATTTCTTTTCATTTCTTGAAACTAGTTGGGAAGCCCCCCGGTCCCTACCCCATGCCCCCGGCTCCTTCAGCTATGGCTACGAGCATGATTTGCTACTATATTATCTTAGCCCGCTGCCACCGCTGCTTAATATTGAGCGACTTGTTTATTCGACTGAATTATTCGACTGAACTATTCGACTGGTTTATTCGACTGAACTTTTCGACTGAATTATTCGACTGGTTTATTCGACTGGATTATTCGACTGAACTAACTGACTGGTTTTATCGACTGGACGAGGCCACATGAAAATGTCAAATACCTCATCCCCCCCACCCCCGCCCCACCCCATCCCCTTTCTTCGTTCATATCATATATAGGGACTCTATTCTTTTCGAGGCGGACAAGGACAGCTGTCTAGTCGTTCGGATGGGACGAAAAACCGAGGTCCCGTGTCCACATTGACGTGGTCGTAAAAGATCCCTTGACAAATGGAATTCGATATAAGAGTAGGCCGTAGTGCCGCTGTCCGGGCAAAATTTCCCTCATCGCACAGTGTATGGCGTATGCCCGTCTTCATTAGCCCAGTTCCAAGCAGAACAGTAGGACGTTAAAACCCCATTTCATTTCTTTTCATTTCTTGAAACTAGTTGGGAAGCCCCCCGGTCTCTACCCCATGCCCCGGCTCCTTCAGCTATGTCTAAGAGCATGATTTGCTACCATATCATCTTAGCCCACTGCCACCGCTGCTTAATATTGAGCGACTTGTTTATTCGACTGAAGTATTCGACTGAACTATTCGACTGAACTTTTCGACTGAATTATTCGACTGGTTTATTCGACTGGATTATTCGACTGAACTAACTGACTGATTTTATCGACTGGACGAGGCCACATGATAATGTCAAATACCTCATCCCCATCGCCCCCCTAACCCAACATATCATATATAGGGACTCTATTCTTTTGGAGGTGGACAAGGACAGATGTCTAGTCGTTCGGATGGGACGAAAAACCGAGGTCCCGTGTACACATTGGCGTGCACTTAAAAGATGGGGGCATATGGGGATGAGGGAAAAAGTCAAGTATGAGTTTATTAAGCCGCGGTGGCAATAACTAAGATAACACCTTAAAGTTTTAATTTGAACAATCAAATTTGAACATGAGGGGACGTAAAAAATAAACAAAAACAATGATAAAAGATATTGGAATTAGTGCGTTTTTTCTTTAACTTATACAGATTACAAAATTTTAATAAGCCATCGACCGGTTTATTCGACTGACTATTTGTTTTGGACTTAGGGTCGACTCTCAACATTTGAGAAAAATTGGCTAGATAATCCGGTCTTTCACAGTATCATAAACAATGTCTAAGGGAGGTAAATCCTCTTAAAACAAGATGTTTACGCCTATGAAATTAATTTAAGAATGTCATTTCAAAAGATCCATTTGATTGCATGCGAGTTCAAGATCTGACACTCTCAATTTTTTATTGTAAAATTTCTCTCTTCATGGACCATATCTATGCTTTTAAAATTAATCCTAATTCGTCGTCACGATCCATGTTTGTTTATATTAATGCAAGAATTATGGGATTTATTTTGGGAAGGGGCGCAACTCTTACTTGACTTGGCTAAAGAGACTGGATAATCGCCTATACTATTTGGGAAACCCACATGTTCACTTTGTTTGAATGTAGTCGCCATTGCTATGAATATATGTCATATTTTAAAAGTTTCTCAATGGACGTTAAACGACATGTAATCCCACAATAAATTCAAATGAGGAACAACATGTACCCCACCCCGCCGTTAAACATGTTTATCTAATTATCTGAGCCACTTTAAAGATATATTACCCCAGATACTTTAAGGTTATATTATTTCAGCTACTTTAAAGCTATATTACCCTAGATCCTTTAAAGCTATATTACCATATATACTTTAAAGCTGCATTACCATTGCTAGATATATTACCTGGGAGGAAACCGGAGGACCCGGAGAAAACCCACGAGGTTGGACAGGCGACCCTACTCCTTGTCACACCAGTCGACTCAATGACAGACTTTATGATACAGCGCGCGCACGCTAACCATTCAGCCATCCAACCCCCCCCCCGCGAAATTTTGAACGACACACTAAGAAACTTTCTCGCTAACCAACTATATGGCTGTGTTTTTCTTTATTTAGTTTGAATCATTCTATGTGTCTATGACTAGTCTGTGTCTACGGTTGTATGCCTGGAGGTCGGGTGTTCGATCCCTGCATTGGTCGAAAAAGTTCATCCAGATTTTCAGACGTGGTTTCCCATGTCAGTGGTGCAGAACGGAGGGTCTGACAAGGACAGCTGTCTAGTACTTCGGATGATACGAAAAACCGAGGTCCCGTGTATACATTGGAATGCACGTAAAAGATCCCTTGCCAGTTGGAATTCAATATAAGAGTAGGCAAAATTTCCCTCATAGCACACTGCATGGCGTATGCCCATCTTCATTAGCCCAGTTTAGGAGCAGAACAGTAGGACATTAAACCCCATTTCATTTTCATTTCATTTTGTATGCCGTCTATGACTTTATTTTGCAAAATTCAAATATTTTTCATATATATTTCGCCAGGTGTGCCACTATTTTTTTGTGTGTTCCAAGGTGTGCCACAGTCAAAAAAGGTTGAGAACCACTGCCCCAGACACTTATGCTACTATGATGTCATACATGTTTGTAAAAGAAATTGGTAAAGCTATTTTTCTGTAAAAAAAAATTTCTTGTTATTGTAAATATTTTATTCAATTATACATTTAAAGATAGGTTGCCAGGCAATTAAACATATGGCCAGAGCAGCTAAATCGTCCGGGCACTCAACAACAGTTGTCGCATATTTTTACTTTTTTCGGTAATGAAACATTTATAATACACTAAAATCTGATTAAGAGTAACAACTCATTAAATAATTATCTGGAAATCATAAGAATTTGTTTGGTTTTTAAAAAGTTCTGCCCCATGCTAACGTTTAGTATATGAAACATTTAATATCATGGATTCAGCTGTTCAAGTATCAAAATTCATTGAAAATCAATATACAACCTTAGACTCTGTGTATCAATCTGAAGTCAATCATATGATAACTTTAGCTTTAGAGCATCAGAGATTTTTCAAAGTAATTACCAGAAATCATTGAAAATCAATAGGATTCTTCGTCTCATGACCTTAAACACTGTGTATAAATTTAAAGTCAATCAGATATTAACTTTAGCCTTAAGAGCGTCCACAAGATTTTTTGTGAAGTGATCAAGGGCCATAACTCTAGCAGTAATTATCGAAAATTGCTGAAAATGAATAGATTTCTTCGTCTCATGATCTTAAACATTGTGTATAAAGTCAATCTGATATTAACTTTGGCCTGTAGAGCAATTCTAGACGCCAGCCGGATGGATGGATGGATGGATGGACAGACGGGGGCGACGACAATATACGACCGTATTTCAATGTAGGCGTATAAAAATACATCAAAATACTATAAGACAAATATCTTCAACAGGAATGAAATATAGTTAAACATCCTGATCCTCTCCACCAACTGTAGTAATGAAGCCCGCCATGCGATGGGCTATGTGAGAAATTTTTGACAAGAAAGCGGCACTACGTCCTACTCTTTATTTCAAATTTCAACTGGTGCCATTTTTATTGTCAACTTGGATCTTCAAATTTTGTTGAAACTCTAAAAACTAAAAATTGTGAAAGAAATTAGGTTTAATGTCCACTTGACACAGACTAGGCCAAATTGGGAAAACTATAGGGTTCAATTTTTATTTCTATCAGTTGCTTGTCCGTACGGGTTAGCGCACGTGCATGTGTGTTGTATCATAAGGTCTGCCACTGAGTCAACTGGCGTGGTTTCGATTCCCCTACGCGCAAGTGAATTATTGGAATAAAATTGAACCATATGTTAGTCTCGTAATGACCTGGTTTGTGTCAAGTTAACATTAAACCCCAATTTTTTTTAGGTATAAGAATGATTTACTTCAAACATCAAAATTATAAGGTTTTTTCACGAGTATGAATTCTCATGTGGTTGTGTAGACCAACATTACGACTAAATGATTTACCACAAATATCACATTTGTAAGGTGTTTCCCCTGTATGATTTCTCACGTGTATCTGTAGACTAGTACTGGTAGTAAATGATTTACTACAAACATCACATTTATGAGCTTTTTCACCTGTATGAGTTCCGACATGTTTCTGTAGATTACATTTATAAGTAAATGATTTACTACAAACATCGCATTTATATGGTTTTTCACCTGTATGAATTATCACGTGTGTTCTTAGATTAAAACTGGTAGTAAATGATTTACTACAAACATCACATTTATAAGGTTTTTCACCAGTATGACTTCTCATGTGTCTCTGTAGATGGACTTTCTGACTAAATGATTTACTACAAACATCACATTTATAAGGCTTGTCACCAGTATGAATTCTCATATGGTACACTAGATTACTATTCTGTGTAAATGATTTACTACAAACATCACATTTATAAGGTTTTTCACCTGTGTGAATTCTCATGTGGTTCTGTAGACTATAATTCAGACTAAATGATTTACTACAAACATCACATTTAAATGGGTTCTGTCCAGGATGATCTATCATGTGTTTTATTAGACCATTTCTCCGTGCAAATGATTCACCACAAACATCACATTTATAAGGTTTTTCTTTAGTATGAATTCTGACATGCTTCCGTAAGGTACCTTGTTCAGTAAATGATTTATTACAAACATCACATTTATAAGGCTTTTCACCCGTATGATTCCTCTCATGACTCTGTAGATGAACTTTCTGACTAAATGATTTATTACAAACGTCACATTCAAAGGGTTTTTCTCCAGAATGAATTCGCATGTGTGACTGTAGATTACTATTCTGACTAAATGATTTACTACAAACATCACATTTATAAGGTTTTACACCAGTATGGATTCTCATGTGCTTCTGTAGATTACTACTGGTGGGAAATGATTTACTACAAACACCACATCTATAAGGTTTTTCACCAGTATGGATTCTGATATGTCTCTGTAGATGACTGCTGCTAGTAAATGATTTACTACAAACATCACATTTATAAGGTCTTTCATCTGTATGGATTCTCATGTGGTCCTGCAGATTACTGTTTAAAATGAATAATTTAGCACAAACTTCACATCTATAAGCTCTTTCTCCTGTTTGCCCTTGCTGACTAACATGTTCTTCACAGTGTTTCTCTAAATGATTTTCTAAATTAAATTCTTCATCACACAAATTACACTGATAAACAGTTTCAATATCATCAGTTTTCTCTTCTTTAACATGACAATATTCATCTACATCATCAATTTTCTCTTCTTTAACATGACAATATTCATCTACATCATTGGTTTTCTCTTCTTTAACATGTATCTTATTGTGTTTTTCTAAATCATCATATTGTTGAAAAATCTCACCACATACAACACACTGGTGGAAAGTTATAACATCATTAGTTTCCTGTAATATATAAAAGTTATAACATCATTAGTATAGTGTAATATATAAAAGTTTTAACATCATTAGTTTCCTGTAATATATAAAAGTTATAACATCATTAGTTTCCTGTAATATATAAAAGTTTTAACATCATTAGTTTCCTCTAATATATATAGAGAGAGAGGCTTAACATCCACTCCACATAAACTAGGTCATTTTGGGAATAACAAATGTTTTTTTGAATTTTATTTCAATGATTCAGTTGCCTATAGGGGCCTTTAGAAGTGAGAGGAAAACAGATGAGCTGGAGAAAACCCATAAGGTTGGACAGACGATCTACTCCTTGTCACATTCAAGCGGGGATTCGAAACTTGACTTAATGACAGGGTGCCAGTTAACATGTCCACAAGCAAAGTCATCCAAATTTATATAAAATCTGGGAATTGTATGAACTGGAGGAAAAGGTGTATTAAAGGAAGTAGGTTGTTTAGTGGCTGTTTTGGGGGCATTTTATTGTTTGTCAATGACCTTTGTTATTTGTCAATGGAATTGTTATCGAATTTGTTTATGCAAATTCAATTGAATAATGTGATTTATTTTGTTTGTTATTTATGAATGAGATAGTCTACCATCTATGAAAATTAGTGATGGTCAGATTATGGCACCTATCGGTTTTAGTGATATCAGATACTGACAGAGAAATATATCGGCCGATACAGATACAATTACCGATAGTGGTGGATATAAAACTATTACACATTAAAATTCCTCGAATGGTATGATAATCTATGTAGATATATGTCATTGTTAGTCAGTCGGGAAACGCATGTTACTATTTTACCTCGGGAATCAAACTTGAACGCTGTGTTTTTGAAGTAATAAAATTGGGTCACACTTCCTACGCACAAATACACTCCCATCTATTATGAACTTCTTTATTTGCTGTATCATTAATGAATAAAGTTGAGATTATAATATTTTAAGCGTTGATTATGATACAATTCCCTAGAGAGATAGGCACCTGTATGTCTATAATATACTCTTCAAAAAATGTAGGGGATACTCAGAAACGATCAGCTCTCGTCCATCTAATAATATTACATCCTTGAATGTTGAAGCGATATCAACTTCTACAATAGGTCTGCATGTAGGCTACAGTATCTCAAAAGTTCGCGACTGAGAAAAATTTTGAAAAAGAAAAATCATAAAGAGGCATTATGGGAGATTAAATAAAAGAACTGACAGGTCTCACCATAATAGTTAAAAATAGATAACGTGAATAGAATATGCTGGAAATTTCAGTCAAATTGCTCCACTCTGAACATATTAGCTTTTGAATTTTAGGCCTAGTCTCTATCATCATTACTAAAGTCGGTACAATAAAAAAAACCGTAGTCTCAATTATCCATTTTTGTTTAAACGCATTATGAAAAGATAGATCTTTTAAGGATGAATGGAAATTTTCAGATATACAGATATTCAATAAAAACAAATACACTGTGTAATTTAATGTTACTAAGTAATGTAAAAGCAGAGAAGAATTTGGTAAATTGTAATATCATATGTATATTGTATGTACTTATATGTAAAACAAAATAATGCAAAATGTAATCGATATTTGGTCTTTATTTTGGCGGAGAAAATATATGGCTAATAAATTAAAATGAAAAATTGGCAGAAAAAAAATGAAACCCAGAGTGAGCACTGAACACGCTAGACCATTGACCCCCACCTCTCCCTACATAGAGAGAAACAACTAATACAATTATGGACAGACAGAATATAATTAACATACTCTTTCAATATATGTTCATGTAACAAATCAGCACGTTATACTCATAGATAGAAACTGTGACGGTTTTAAAGAAAAACATTGGACAGACAAACAAATATATTGTATATTATGGCCATTATAGTTTGGGGCCGTGTAGACCACATGCCCTTTAAATAAGGTCAATTTAATTCATTCCACTTCCGACGATTTCTTTACAGGTCATGTGGATTGAATAGTTACAGTAATAGGAGGCTACAATTTAAATCGTTTACACGTCATTCGTTTACACGGATTGTTGCTTACGTAGTAACAGTAATACTCGCCATTATTTTGTTTCTAAAGTTCTGCTACAGTAAATGATCCTTTATCTGGTAAGATGTTCTTTGGTAAGGTTCAAAATCTCTTTTAATTTACGGGAAAATAACAAAAGGAAAACAGCACAAGTTTTTCTTCTTTTCCAAGTTCATTTCCGGTAGAGAAAGACCTACGAGGTATATAATAAATATAGCCCTGGATCGATTCAACCCGAACGACTCACAAAGGACCCAGGCAATTTGTAATTTTCGTGTGATGTAAATGAAAAGGAAAGAAATTTATCGTCTCACCAAGAGAGAGAGAGAGAGAAATGGGGTTTAACGTCCACTCGACACAAGCTAGGTCATTTTGGGACTAACATATGTTTTAATTTTATTTACATATTTCTCTTGCGTGTAGGGGTCTTTAGCAGTGGGAGGAAACCGGAGGACCCGGAGAAAACCCACAAGGTTGGACAGGCGACCCTACTTCTTGTCACGTACAACCGAGAATTCAAAACCACGCCAGTCGACTCAATGACAGACTTTATGATACAGCGCGCACGCTAACCATTCAGCCATCCAACCCCCCTCGTCTCACCAAACACAATATTGGAATTATTTTAAAACATATGATTTCTGTAATGGCTGAATCGATATGCTTGCTGCATTACCTGGGTTGATTCCATATTTAATTACTGGTGTCAGTTTCTCATATACGGTACACTTATTTGAATTCAGAAGGGTTGGATGGCCGAATGGTTAGCACAAGGCTTTGAGCATATAAAATTAGGTTCAATTGCAAAATTTTCCAAACATATCATCACAGTTTGAATGGAAAAAAGTAATTATGTTACAAATAGTGAAGAGTGGAACACTGAAATCATAATCTTATCTTACCGAACATTTTTTTTCTTAATTTTCGAGTGACATGACTCCGGTTTGGCAGCCATTTTAAACTTAACAGAAATTTTGCAGAGCAGTTGGGTTTAATCAAATCATATAATTATACGGCAAGGTTCCACCTTTATTTCAATGGGAATTGGTTTATTATATGTTAAACTATGTACAGTACAGTTTGGGGTCAGTGTTAATGGAAATTAAGGGAGTTATAGAACAGAAACTTTTTAGTAGTCAATTGACTCCAAAACTTGCTCAAAGTAAGGCCTTAGGATGGTCAAATAGTGTGGCTGGAGCAAGACGGAAGACATCAATAGTGAAACCATTTCTACTAAAGACCCTACACGCAAGCAAATTATTGAAATAAAATTGAACCATATTAGTCCCAAAATGACATAGTTCGTATCGAATGAATGTTAAACCCCATTTCTCTTCCCCCCCCCCCACCCCTCTCTCTCCTCTCCTTTCACTCTGACAGACATTTGAGGTCTACATTCAACCGATAAGTGGCCGATCGGTATCAAGGATACTCAACCATTTTGCCCATACTGGAGTCGCTGATATCTGTTCAAAAGGACTCGGTAAATACCCCAAAAATATCATTCGAGACGTAAACAAATCATTATTTTTCTTGACCTGTATCTTACCCACTTAGCCACTGTGGCTCCCATAATACAAGACTCTCATAGAGGCAGTAAAAAAGAAAGAATAACAGGGCAAAGTCCTTACTGGTCAACATTATTTTTTTTTTATCCATATTCACACATTGTTTGAGAGTTCGGATCTCTCAGTGCATTTGATATAGTGTAATTATTTACTCTAGTACCGCTTCAGTAAATTGAAGCGTTGCAAGTCTTACATTTGGCCTTACTTTGATCACTGTAGCTTATCGTGAAATAGTTCAGAATCTTACTACTTTGCAGAACTACATCTGGCATACAGGTTTATAGATGTCACATGATTATTGTCAGAACTGCATCTGTCATACAGGCTTATTGATGTCACATGATTACTGTCATACAGGCTTATAGAGGTCACATGATTACTGTCAGAACTACATCTGACATACAGGCTTATAGATGCTGATAAAAATTTCGACATAATTTAGTGATTTGTATTGTTATGTACTTTTAATAACTCCTAATATAGATCATACTTTAAAAATGTAGACATAATTTGTATCATTATCAACATTTAATAACACATAAAATATAGATTACACTTTATTATTCATAATATTACAAACACATAAGTTAAATTCCCAATAGATGGTTTTATTTTCATCTCTAGTTACAGAAATGACGAGAGAATGTCATATAATTGCTAGTGTTGACGGATGGGAAACTATAGCTCTGATGTCGCATTATTACCCCATAAACCATTCTGACATCTGTGATAGACATACCATAACTAGGGAATTAAGATACGATTTATATAATATAAAAGGAAATAAACTTTTAAACATAATAAATAAATGGGATAATACCAATGTAAATCAGTCTGATCTCAAAAGAGCTGGTCAAATTGTAGATATGATAAATATGCGTGAGTCGCACGAAATTTACTCACATAAAAAAGATCTTAATGAAATAATTACTTACTTATGCCTTGACTAAATGTATTTATATATATATTGTAAATATTGTAAAGAAGTGTACACTAATGTACGAATAAATGTGAAATAAATAAATAAATAATCTAGACTTTATTAATTAATCATACAGCAAATAATTAAGTTCACAATAAATGGTGTGTATTTTTGACTGCGTAGGAAGCATGGCCGAATAATTCCTTTAAAAATTCATGTTCCTGTTTGATTCCCTGAGGTAATATAGTACCATGCGCTTCCCCGACTAACAAGGAAATGAAATGGGGCTTTACGTCCTACTGTTCTGCTCCTACTAGGCAAATGAAGAAAGGCATATGCCACACAGTGTGCTATGAGGGAAAGTTTGCCCAGGCAGCGACACTATGGCTTACTCTTATATCGAATTCCAGCAGCCAAGGGATCTTTTACGTGCACGCCATTGTATACACAGGACCTTGGTGTTTCATCCCATCCAAATGACTAGACAACTGTCCTTGTCAGACCCTTCATCCTGCACCACTGACAAGGGGAAACCATGCCGGAAAATCCTGATAAACTTTCTCGGGCAATGCGACTAACAAGGATATGTAAATAGATTGACTATAATGACATTCGAGACATTTTAATGTGCAATAGATTTATATCCACCACTATCGGTAATTGTATCTGTATCAGCCGATATATTTCACTGTCAATATCTAATATCAGTAAAACCAATAGTAGCCATATCGGACCATCATTAGTGAGAATGCTTTACTACAAACATCACAATTATATGGATTTTTCACCTGTATGAATTCTCATGTGCCTCTGTAGGCTTCTACAATGTGTGAATAATTTACTACAAATATCGCATTTATAAGATTTTTCTGCTGTATGAGTTCTGATGTGGTTCTTTAGATGACTTCTATTAGTAAAAAATTTACTACAAACATCACAACTAAAAGGTTTTTCACCAGTATGAATTCTCATGTGTGACTGAAGATTACCATTGGTGGTGAATGATTTTTTACAAACATCACAATTATAAGGTCTTTCGCCTGCATGAATTCTCAGGTGTGACTGTAGACTACTACCCTGTGTAAATGATTTACTACAAACATCACATTTATAAGGTTTTACACCAGTATGAATTCGAATGTGCTTCTGTAGATTATCACTAGCAGCGAATGCTTTAGTACAAAAATCACATTTATAAGGTTTATCACCAGTATGAATTCTGATATGTCTCTGCAGATGACTACTATCAGTAAATGATTTACTACAAACATCACATTTAAAAGGCTTTATTCCTGTATGACTTCTTTTGTGCTTCTGTCGATGACTACTCTGAGTAAATGATTTACTACAAACATCACATTTATAAGGTTTTTCACCTGTATGAATTCTCAGGTGTGACAGAAGTTCGTATTTGTGTAGAAATGTTTTACTGCAAACACCACATTTATAAGGTTTTCCACCAGTATGAATTCTTATGTGTGACTGTAGACTACTACTTGTGGTAAATGATTTACTACAAACATCACATTTATAAGGTTTATCTCCTGTTTGCCCTTGCTGACTAACATGTATTTCACAGTGTTTTTCTAAATCAGATTCTAATTTAAATTCTTTTTCACACAAATTACACTGATAAACAGTTTCAATATCATCAGTTTTCTCTTCTTTAACATGACTATATCCATCGGCATCATCAGTTTTCTCTTCTTCAACATGACAATATTCATCTACATTATCAGTTTTCTCTTCTTTAACATGTACTTTGGAATGCTGTTCTAAATGATCATAATGTGAAAAAATCTCATCACATATTGTACACTGATGAAATGTTATAACATCATTAGTTTCCTGTAATATATAAAAGTTATAACATCATTAGTTTCCTGTAATATATAAAAGTCATATCATCATTACTTTTTAGACAAACTCGTCAGACAAATGGTCAGATGGAAAGCTTGTTGTATGGATAGGGCCAATGGACCGATACAACAGCGAATATGACGTCATATCTGACTTGGCAACCAGAATTCCTGATTAAAGATATCTTCTTCTGTCGCTTCGAGTTTTTTGACGTCCTCTAAAATGGATCTAAACCTATCCACAACCGAATTAGAATATCCAATAACTCTGTATAGGAATCATTGACTTTGTGGAATCCACGGCATCAAAACTACGCCATATGGTGTGCTATGAGGGAAATTTTGCCCAGGCAGCAGTGCTACGGCCTACTCTTATATCGAATTCCAACTGCCAAGGGATCTTTTACGTGCACGTCAATGTGTACACGGGACCTCGGTTTTCCGTCCAATCCGAACGGCTAGACAGCTGTCCTTGTCAGGCCCTCCGTCCTGCATCACTGACAAGGGGGAAACCACGCAGGAAAATCTGGATGAACTTTCTCGGCCAATGCAGGGATCGAACACCTGACCCCCAGGCTAGCGAGCCAGCGTGTTACCCACTTAGCCACGTGATCCCCCCATTCAAGAAAGGCAGTAAGAAGAAAGCCAGCAACTATCGACCAATAACTAGTCTCACAAGCGTTGTTGCCAAGACACTATCGATATTGAGCTAGGTCATCATGAATCATTTAGATACCAAGAATATTCTATATAAAGAACAATACCCTTACAATCAATATCAACTAGAAAAAAATGGAATTGCAGGGCTATAAATTCGTCATTTTTGGGGAGAATCTAAGACGATTCTCATATATGCAATCTGCGCGAATCTTAAAATAACTAACTTAAAAACAAAATTGTGTTTATTGTTTATTGCCAGACTTATCAGAAAATGCTGTAGCCAAAATAAGCTGATACGGCCATGTGGCATTTCTTCATAACACAATTTGTAGTCCTTTGTCCATCACGTAACTAGTCACGTAACTTGCAAATGTTTTTATTCATTCGTCGATAATAAAAAACGGCAAAATGATCATGTGACAACCATAACTAAAATTGCTATAAAATAAAATTCTGTACGTCTATGATATAGCCTTCAATAATATTTTTTTTAAAATTAAGCCTCGGTCAGTAGTGTATAAAATAAAAAATCATAACGGTAAACGCTATTATTTAGAACTGGTTTATTGACATAATTCCAACCGATATGTCACATGTTATTGGATTTCGACAATGGAGATTCTGTCAGGAAAATATCTACTGTTTCTCTCTCCATGTATTCGATGTTCTATTAGGGAATTATATTCAATGAAGATTTAAATTTTCCTAACAACTGGTCAGTGAATCCATCAATGTATTATCCAGTTATTATTTTAATATCTACGGATTCACACGGATGGAGAGTGGAAGACGCGCAATTTGGAAACCATGTTGAGACGATCTTCAATGGCCATGTGGCTTATTTTACTGAACCTATTATGAATAATCAACAAGCTTGTTTTGTTTATTTTACCAGATTATCAAAATCCCCGTTAAATGTGCTAATTACTCGGATTATAAACCACTAAGGTTGTCTTCTTAAACATGCATTATGCAAGAGCAAAATCTGCTTATTACAAGTCTTTCTTTAGGCCTGAAATGTTATCTACCGGTAAATTATCAATTAGACATTAATTAACTTATCCAGACCATAATAAACTCTCGATGTCAAGGCTAGCCTTCGATGTTGGCTGGATTAGATTCCTATATGCCGCTAACGGCCGTTGATAATTAAATCAGAAAAATTAATGATTATAGTAATGATGACCGAGACTATGCAAAAATTTCACCCGCTTCTTTCTCAGCTCATAGTTGATCAATTTGACTGAAATTTCCAGCAAATAACCTTTACACTATCTAGTTTTTAACTATTATAGCGAGAACTGCCATCTCTTTATCTTATCTCCCATAATGTATCTTTAATTAACAAGTAATAATCAACCCGTTGTAATTTAGCCAAAAGTAGATTGATTATTTACGATAGTGGCCGATTCATTGTTTTACCAATCGGCTTGAATAGACATCAATTGTCTAAAGCCGACAAAATACAGCCACATGATGAACACGAACCATGACTGACATTCAATAGTCGGACTCGACAATTTTCCAAGATTTTATTTCTTTTTCAGAAAAATTTTACACGAATCCTTGTCAATTCGCAGCATAAGCTCTTGTGGGAATACTTGCGCGAATTAGATTCGGAGATTCACATGAATTTCTAGCCCTGAATTGGCTGCAAAACCCACCTGGACATCAATATAATTAACAAGAAATTTAATGGACAAATTTGGTTTTGAAGTAGTAAAATACCCGTCAATCTATAGTAACATACCAGATACCACGCTATATGGTGTTTTCTATTCACAGACATTACGATTTTTGACAATATGTAACAATAAAGAACTATTTCTCTCCCAAATAAAATCTCTTTACTTTAAATGCACTGCCAAAGGCGGTACACAATTACGCATTTTAAAATAAATTTCAAAACTTCCATTTCTTCAACATACCAAGTTTGACATTTCTCATAAGTATATAACCGACTACATACTGGCTAATGATCCAATTTAAATTTTATTTTGGATTTTCTGTAGTTACTTAACCCTGTCTGAATTACCTCCCTTATTTTTTATACCTTTATAAATACACTTACATAGTACGATTTCTTCAGCATACCTGTTTTGCATTTCTTGTGTGGGGTATTATATTAATATATTATAAACTGTACAATTACATAACTTAATAATTCCGATTAGTAGCTAAAACTTATAGTTTTTAAGCTTTTAATGTTATTGTATCTGGATTATCGTCCTTATTATTGTGATTTTTATCACCTTCTAAGATATCACGTCATTCCCAAAATAACGTCGACACTCAGTCAGCAGACGGCTGTCTCTCGAGACAGTCTACATTTCCTATTTGCTTCTTTGTATTCAGTTTTGTTTTTGTGACGGATAGAACATGTGCCCTATATGTATTGAATACTGAAACGTTTCTTGATTGATTTTAGAGCATTTAGGTTTAGACTACTTTTTTTTATACATTTCACCGATGTGGTTACTTGGATAGTTGAATTTTAATACATATGCTTACATTCATACACTGTAACACAGGTAACATTTAATCTTGTGCATCTAGCACTAATTTCTTTAACATCATTTAATAGTGCTAGATACACAAGATTAAATGATACCTGGGTTACAGTGATATTTCGTGTAGCATATATATAGAGAGAGAGAAATGGGGTCTAACGTCCACTCGACACAAACTAGGTCATTTCAGGACTAACATATGGTTTAATTTCATTTAAATAATTCGCTTGTGTGCAGGGGTCTTTAGCAGTGAGAGAAAACCGGAGGACGCGGAGAAAACCCATGAGGTCGGATAGGCGACCCTACTCCTTGTCACGTACGACCAGGGATTCGAAACCATGCCAGTTGACTCAATGACAGGCCGTATGATACAGCACGCACATGCTAACCATTTGGCCATCCAATCCCCCCCCCCCCAAGTTAATAGGATTCTTCCAGGAAGAGATGTGGCTGTTAACGAAGAAATGCTAAACTTCACCACAGAGAAAATAACAAGCAGGCACAATTTTAAACTAGAACAAGCGGTTGCCATGCAAGATTTGCCCACATTTTGCAAGAGATGGACAGAGAACAAGCTATAAAAAAGAAGTTATTTTTCGTACAATCAAGGGCCATAATTCAGAAAGTTACAATCCGATATGCATGAATATTGACAGGAACCAAGATCTTTGGGTTATAAACATGTATTTCAAGTTTCATCAAAATCGGATCAAAATTGTGAACTCTATAGGGTCACAACCTTGACATACCATATTTTTACGCTATTTGAGAACGGATGGCAGCCATTTTGTCTGTCAATTTTGGGCCAATTTTCACGAAATTCGAACTCATTCATCCTTAGGGTGTCACGGTGATATAATAATACGTTTTTTTAAATCAGATAAAAATTATGACCTCTATAGGGTCCACAAGTTAAAAACGTGATTTTTCGTACAATCAGGGGCCATAATTCAGGAAGTTACGGTATGATATGCGCAAATATTGAAAGGAACCGCGATTTTTGGGTTATAAACTTACATTTCAAGTTTCAACAAAATCAGACAAAAATTATGACCTCTATAGGGTCCACAACTTTGATATACCATATTTTTACGCTATTTGAGAATGAACGGCGGCCATTTTGTCTGTCAATTTTGGGCCGATTTTCACGAAATTCGAACTCACCCGTCCTTAGGGTGTAACGGTGATATAATAATACATTTTTTTAAATCGGATAAAAATTATGACCTCTATAGGGTCCACAAGCTAAAAACGCGATTTTTCGTACAATCAGGGGCCATAATTCAGGAAGTTACGGTCCGATATGCGCGGATATCGAAAGGAACCGAGATCTTTGGGTTATAAATTTACATTTCAAGTTTCAACAAAATCGGATAAAAATTGTGACCTCTATAGGGTCCACAACCTTGATATACCATATTTTAACACTATTTGAGAATAAACGACGGCCATTTTGTCTGTCAATTTTGGGCCGATTTTCACGAAATTCTAACTCAGTCGTCCTTAGGGTGAAACGGTGATTTAATAATACGTTTTTTTAAATCGGATAAAAATTATGACCTCTATAGGGTCCACCAGCTAAAAACGCGATATTTTGAACAATCAGGGGCCATAATTCAGGAAGTTACAGTCCGATATGCGCGAATATCAAAAGGAACCGAGATCTTTGGGTTATAAACTTACATTTCAAGTTTCAACAAAATCGGATAAAAATTGAGACCTCTATAGGGTCCACAAGCTAAATACATGATTTTTCGTACAAACAGGGGCCATTATCCATGAAGTTTCGATACGATACATGTCAATATCGAAAGCAGCCGAGATCTTTTGGAGATAAACCTATATTTTAAGTTTCGTCAAAATCGGATAAGAATTGTGACCTGTAGAGTGTCCACAAACAAATTGTGGACAGACGTCCGGGGGCGACGACAATATACATGTACGTCCACATGAAAATGTGGGCGTATAAAAACGAGACGACAATATACGACCACATTTCAATGTGGGCGTATAAAAAGGGTAGGCCTATAACTACATGTTATATGTCATCCCTGGCGGTTCGTTTATATAGTATCCAGACCCGTCAGACCAAAGACCACTCGGACCAAGACCAATCTGACCAAAAAAAAAACCAGTCGGATCAAAATAGAGACCACTCGGACCAACCCAAAGGAGTACTCCGACCAAACGAAAAGACCATTTGGACCGATTAATTTATATTGTAAGACCACTCGGACCAATATTTATCTTTGCTACTCAGACCAACCCAAAGGATCACTTGGACCAATTAAATTATATTATAATGCGTGACTTATTCATTTTAAAAATAAAAAACACACAATATGTTATTTATTATTAAATCACAATAAAAAGAGGCGAATAATTTTAGGTGAGTATATACATAACTTAACAATGTCTTCGTTACTAAATGTGCGTTACGGGTAAGTACATATTAGCAAATAGTCATCTTTATTACATCAACAATTTAACTGTTTTTCTTTGATGTGCTTCATCAATTTGATTAGTTTGTAACACGGTAGAAATAGTTCCACTACTGATGTCTTCTTCCGTCTTGCTCGAAAATACAGAATAAGTAACTGTTTGGCAAGAGAAGGGGGGTTGGATGGCCGAATGGTTAGCACGTGCGTGCTGTATCATAAGGCCTGTCATTGTGTCAACTGGCGTGGTTTCGAATCCCCGGTTGTACGTGGCAAGGAGTAGGGTCCGCCTGTCCAACCTCGTGGGTTTTCCCCGGTTCCTCCGGTTTCCTCCCACTGCTAAAGACCCCTACGCGCAAGCGAATTATTGAAATAAAATTAAACCATATGTTAGTCCCAAAATGACCTAGTTTGTGTCGAGTGGACGTTAAACCCCATTTCTCTCTCTCTTGGCAAGAGAAGATTAAGATTTCAGTATTCAACACTTTATTATTGGTTCAAGTAGTCATATTAAAACAAACACAATTATTAATTTATTAAAACAACACTTTATTATTGGTCCGAGTGGTCTTTTTGTATGGTCCGAGTAGCTTTTTTGTTTGGTCCGAGTGGTCTATCAGTTGGTCCGACTGGTCTTGCTCCGAGTGGTCATGGATTCTTTTATAATGCACGTGGCTTGAATAGTAATAGGGGTTTCAGGTCACGTGACTTTAGCGTGAAATCGGACAGCCAGCGGCTGAAATATAGCCCACTTCGAACTACGATTCTGAATTACTATTTTATGTAAATGCATTACTAGCAATTGTATTGAAATAGTTTAATATCAATCTCAATATCTGCAAAGATTCAGGCTAAAAAATTATCGAAATGTAAGCGAAATTACCGTTTGTTTACATGAGACGCTCGCGGGAAAATACCGCTCTGACGTCACGCGGCCTGAGATTTTCCATTGCTACGACTCACTTCATTGGTGAATCCGCAGCTTAGTTACCGGGGGATTTTGATATAGAACCAATCATACGATAGATAACATTTTTGTGGTTATTATGGTTGTTGATACCACGTGATCGGACAAGTAGACCCGTAGAAAATGGGATTTATCTGTTTTGATGACTGAAAATTGCCAAATTTCGACTAAATATAAAAAAACTTTCTTGAGGTATCATCCAGATTATAAATATTTGACATATTATCATTTAAATTATTACGATTTTAATAAATTTTAGCGGACAATAACGTGCGGATTTCAGTTTTAAAATTGGTACTAGCGATTCTGAAGGGAAAATACCGCTTATGACGTCACTCAAATATGACTGAAAAGCACTTATTTTGGTGCCATGCCACGCATTGACTGGTATAGAGCATTTTGATTACATTATTGACGTCGATCTCGGATTTTAAAATTCCATAACTTTGGATCTAATTAGAATATTTTGATGAAATAAAAAAATTTGGGTAGCATTTTATATATATTTTCACAAAATATTTTTAAAAAATTTTTTTCTGTCATTTGAAACTTTGACCTGAAACCCCTAATAGTAACAGTAATACTCACCATTATTTTGTATGTAAAGTTCTGCTACAGTAAATGATCCGTTGTCTGGTAAACAGTCCTTGGTGTGGTTCAAAATCTGCTTCAACAAATAGGGGAAAACAACGAAGGGAAAACAACGAAGAGCAAAAAACAAGTCTTTGTTCTTTCCAAAGTTCATTTCCGGTATAGAACGGATATGGGTTGTATATTAAATATGGCCATGGATCTATCTAACGCGAACAATTCACAAATGCAACGCGTTACTGGACTTGTAATTTTCGTCTGATGTAAATCAAAAGGAAAGGAATTTAACGTCTCACTAACACAATATTACAATTAGTTTAAGACATATGATTGCTGTAATGTCTGAGTCGATAAGATATTATAATTTCGCAAACCCACCTGCAAAGGATATTAAAAGAAATTGGATTTAAATTTTACAATTCCCATGGCAAGAGATTTGCGAAAGAAACTACTGATATTGTGACAGCCAGACACAATTATTTGAGAAATGTTGCCAAATACAGGTATTATGGACTTTCCACTGACTGGTTGAAAGAAAATAGTTGCTTAAACAGATAAACAATCCAACCTGAAAGTCGTTTTGTGCACAGATAGTTTTATTTATAAGCACATAGTATCCTGCAATTGCACATTTTTTAACCTAAAGTATTAAATATCTTGGTTATGTTTGAAAATGCAACTACAGTATGTTACAAAAAAAAAGTATTTTGATAAGAATCTAAAATTAGATTTGAGTTTTCCTGTTTTAATTTGCATTTTTTTTAGTGTAAAGATGAAGGATATGAAATTGTATATCTAGATGAGACGTGGATTAACGCAAATCATTGTAAACATGGCGTTTGGACGGAAAGTTGAAAAGGTAAAACAAAGTTTTATTTTAAATGCAAAATATATTCTGAGTTTATTATTCGAATATTATTTGATATATGTGTAGTGTCCTCTAACAAGAGGTCTGCTATCAGTGTAGGTAATTCTGCCACCATTGACTACTTCCTGTGAGTCACAGATGAGCAGTTAAGAGATTAACCAAAAGGTAATCTTCCCTTGCTCATAAAACGAACAACAACTTGTAAATTAAATTACTGTTTATTCGTGAAGGACTTCTAAACTCAGGAGTCTTAGTTACAAATAATGTTGCAATGTTTTAGATACCTATCAGGCAATAAAGTAGCGGACGTTTAGTCTAACCCAGATTGCAATAATAATGATGGCTCTATACAAGGCCCTAATATATTGTACATGAAACAACTAGTCAAAATCATAGTAACAAAACAAACCGGAAGGAACTAAATGGCGGTGCAAAAATATATACAATGACATAAAATGAAATTGACCATGCTGTTTTGATGTAAACACATTTTTTATATTTTTTTCCTTGATAATTTATTCAATTATACATTTAAAAATACATGAGAATACCGCAAGACAAACATATTCAACAAAAAAATATCAAAATACTATAAGACAAGCATCTTCAACAGTAATACATCGAAATACTTTAAGACAAACATCTTCCAACAGAAAATCCATCAAAATACCGTAAGACAAACATCTTCAACAGAAATAAAATAAAACATAGTTAAACATCCTGATCCTCTCCACCAACTGTAGTAATGAAGACAAGCAATGAGCTATGTGTTTGAGGGGGGGGGGGGCGGGTGTCACGGTGGTTAAGTGGGTAGGCTGTAGTGCTGCTGTCCGGGCAAAATTTCCCTAATAGCATACTGTATGGTGTATGCCCATCTTTATTAGAGCCCAGTTCGGAGCAGAACAGTAGGATGTTTAACCCCATTTCATTGCAATGTGCTATGTGGGAAATTTTTTGCCAGGACAGTGGCACTACGTCCTAGTCAAATTTCAAACTGGTGACATTTTTATTGTTAACTTGTGTCTTCAAATCAGGTTGAAACTCTAAAAGATGAGATGGGGTTTAACATCCACTCAACACAAACTAGGTTTTTTTGGGGCTAACATATGGTTCAATTTTATTTCAATAATTCGCTTGTGAGTATGCGTCTTTACATTTTTTACTTGTGTTGATATTTTTTATATCAAAAAAGACTTGTAGGAGATTCTCTGTATACATGTACATGTATGCAATATTGGCAAAATTAGAAAATCCATCTCTTCAAATGCAACTCACTAAGTAATCAGTTTATTTATAACTTCACAGCTCGATAATTATAACCGCCTATTCCACTAAAACTCAGATAAATTTTAAAAGGTCCAAAACTTGTAGACACTCTCTACACTGGCTGCCAATAGCATACAGAGTAGAATACAAAAACAAACTACCAATAACAAACAGAATACAAGCCAACAGTGAGGTTGATGTCCCCCGCCGAAATCCCAAAATAAATAGATGACACATATTAATTAATCACACATTTATTTTTTTCAAAATATCGAGTAATCAACCTACACACTAAGTTTCGTCACTCTCTATCAGATAGAATCAAGATTATCTTGTCCTAAAGCATCGACCAATGAAATTGATTAGCTCTGCTCAGCTTTAGCTCGAAATGTTAATCTTTGAACTCAGTCAAGACATTCACCTAACGAACATCTACATCAGGTTTAAACATTCTACCTCAATTAAAAGCAGAGTTTTTATGTTCCAAAGTCTTGACCAATCAAACTGCTTATCGCTCCTTAGCCCAGGCAGAACATTCGCACAATCAAACTTAGTCAAGATAATGACATAATGAATTTATATTCAGAGTTTCATCGCTCTCACTTCATTATAACCAAAGTCAATGTGCCCCTAAAGCATCAACCAACCGGATTGCTTATCCCTGCCTACCATAAGCAGACAATGTTCATCATTGAACTCCATCAAGGGATTCACCTCATAAATGCCTACGCCAAGTTTGAACATTCTACCTCAATTAGAAATGAAATGAAATGGGGTATAACGTCCTACTGTTTTGCTCCGAACTGGGCTAATGAAGACGGACCTCAATTGGAAGGAGAGTTATTGTGTTCCAAAATCTTGGCCAATCAAATCGCTCTGCTTACCCTGAGCAGAAAATGCTCATTATCGAACTTAGTCAAGGTATTGATGTAATGAAACTATACACCAAGTTTCATCACTCTCACTAATGAAGACGGACCTCAATTAGAAGGAGAGTTATTGTGTTCCAAAATCTTGGCCAATCAAATTGCTCTGCTTACCCTGAGCAGAAAATGCTCATTATCGAACTTAGTCAAGGTATTGATGTAATGAAACTATACACCAAGTTTCATCACTCTCACTTAATTAGAACTAAAGTTATCATGTCCCAAAGCATTAACCAATCAAATTGGTTATCTCTGCTTATCCTAAGCGGAAAATGCTCATCTTCGAACTCCATCAAGGCATTGGCCTAATAAACACCTACACCAAGTTTGAACATTCTAGCTCAATTAGAAAGAGAGTTATTGTGTCCCAAAATGTGTGACGGACAGACAGACGGACGAACCCATTTTAATAGTCCCCTGCTTTCTTCGAAAGGCGGGGGACAATAAAATATTGTATAAAGGCCCCTATAATTTAATCATCATATGATAACAACTCATTCTACATAACACCCCTATAATTTATCATCATATGGTAACAGGTCATTCTATGTACAAGCACCATTCAATGTACAATTAAAATTCATAATCTCACTGCTATTTAAAAAAGACTTTTACCCAATGATCCTTTTATATAATTTACCCAGAGCTATTTTAATTTCTAAATACATGTAATTTTATCTAAATCACAACTTTTATATATATCTTATCATGCTCTTTTTATTATGTCTTGATGTAAAATGTCTTTTACAAAGTGCACATGAACACATTTATGTGACCGATGTGAACGATAGAATAAATGAAATGAAATGGGGTTTAACGTCCTACTGTTCTGCTCCTAAATTGGGCTAATGAAGACGGGCATAGGCCATACAGTGTGCTATGAGGGAAATTTTGCCTGGGCAGCGGCACTATGGCCTACTCTTATATCGAATTCCAACTGCCAAGGGATCTTTTACGTGCACGTCAATGTGTACATGGGAACTCGGTTTTTCGTCCCATCCGAACGACTAGACAGCTGTCCTTGTCAGGCCCTCCGTCCTGCATCACTGACGAGGGGAAACCACGCCGGAAAATCTGGATGAACTTTCTCGGCCAATGCAGGGATCGAACACCCGACCTCCAGGCTAGCGAGCCAGCGCCTCACCCACTTAGCCACCGTGATCCCTGTGAACGATAGAAAAGTGTAATAATAATAATAATAGAGTCTATGCAAATAAGTGTTTTGCTCCAGTATGAATTCTCATGTGGTTCTGTAGACCAAAATTCAGACTAAATGATTTACTACAAACATTTTATTTATAAGGTTTTTTTCCAGTATGAAGTGTTATGTGTGACTGTAGATTAATAATATAAGAGATAGTGGTGAATGATTTACTTTAAACATCATATTTATAAGGTTTTTCCTCCAGTACGAATTCTGAGGTGTGTTTGTAGACTTCTACTACCGTTAGTAAATGATTTACTACAAACATCATATTTATGATGAGCTCTGACATGTTTCTGTAGACTAACTTTATGAGTAAATGATTTACTACAAACATCACATTTAAACGGCTTCTTTCCAGTATGAATTCTCATGTGTGTTCTTAGATTGAAACTGGTAGTAAATGATTTACTACAAACAACACACTTATAAGGTTTTTCACCAGTATGAATTCTGATGTGTCTCTGTAGAATACTACTCTCAGTAAATGATTTACTACAAACATCACATTTAAAAGGCCTTTCTCCTGTGTGACTTCTCACATGATTCTTTAGATAACATTTATGAGTAAATGATTTATTACAAACATCACATTTATATGGTTTGTCACCGGTATGATTTCTCATGTGGTGTTGTAGATTACTTTTATGACTAAATGATTTACTACAAACATCACATTTATAAGGTGTTTCACCAGTATGAATTTTGACGTGGCTCTGTAGATTACAATTCAGGCTAAATGATTTACTACAAACATCACATTTATATGGTTTTTCACCCGTATGATTCCTCTCATGACTCTGTAGATGTCCTTTCTGACTAAATGATTTACTACAAACATCACATTTATAAGGCATTTCTCCAGTATGAATTCTCATGTGAATCTGTAGGTTACTATTCATGGTAAATGATTTATTACAAACATCACATTTATAAGGTTTTTCACCTGTATGACTTATCACATGATTCCTTAGAGTACTACTATGAGTAAATGATTTACTACAAACATCACATTTATATGGTTTTATCCCAGAATGAGTTCTCATGTGTGGCCGTAGATTACTACTATGACTAAATGATTTACCACAAACATCACATTTATAAGGTTTTACACCAGTATGAATTCTGATGTGGTTCTGCAGATTAAAGTTTGAAGTGAATGATTTATCACAATCATCACATTTATAAGCTCTTTCCCCGGTTTGCCCTTGCTGAATAACGTGTTCTTCACGGTGTTTTTCCAAATTTGTTTTTAATTGAAATGCTTCATCACACAAATTACACTGATAAACAGTTTCAATATTAGTTTTCTCTTCTTTAACATGACAATATCCATCTACATCATCTGTTTTCTCTTCTTTAACATGACAATATTCATCTACATCATCAGTTTTCTCTTCTTTATCATGCCAATATCCAACTATATCATCAGTTTTCTCTTCGTTAACATGGCAATATTCATCTACATCATCAGTTTTCTCTTCTTTAACATGTATCTTATTGTGTTTTTTTAAATCATCATATTTTTTAAAACTTTCATCACATATTGTACACTGATGAAAGGTTATAACATCATTAGTATCCTGTAATATATAAAAGTTATAACATCATTAGTTTCCTGTAATATATAAAAGTTATAACATCTTTAGACAAACTCTTCAGACAAATTGTCGGATGGAAAGCTTGTTGTATGGATAGAACCAGTTCTTTTCTCATCCAACGGACTGATACAACAGCCAATATGACGTCATATCTGACTTGGCAACCAGAACTCTTAATTAAAGACATCTTCTTTTGTCGCTTCGAGTACTTTGACATCCTCTGAAATGGATCTAAACCTATCCCCGACCGAATAAAAATATGTAATAACTCTGTATAGGAATCGTGGACTTTGTGGAATCCACGGCATGAAAACTACGTGAAGATAGCGTTAGGAAATGTTGTCTTATGGCCATTTTATTCAATTACTAAGAAGGAACTAAGGCCGTGGTTAATTAATTGTATGTTTCTCATGACCTGAGTTTTTGAAAACAACATGCTACGTGAGGTAATTATCAATTATTGAGATGGAATCCAAAACTTGTCGAAAAAACTAAAGCAACATAAACTCTTATAGCTATGGGCATGCTGTGGTTTATAACAAAAAGCTCTTCAGTCCATTGATGAGTACACAGGAAGAGGTCTTTTTTAAAGAAACTCTCAGTCAGGGAACATCTACATGTACACTGGCTATTAGGGGCTCAGGGCTAGGGCCTAGTTTAATTCATCAGATTTCTTAGGAGTATGCGATCTGTTTCTAAAATATACAAATTTATTTGATTAAAAATAAAGTCTTTAGTAACTCCTAAGAAAGTTCTTTGAATTAAGGCATTTTTCTCTCTCAAGCACATTAATATTTATTTCTGAGTTGATATATTTTTTAATTTTTGAACACAATTAATATTAATACGTTATTTTAAAGTTTCCAACAAGTTTAGAGTAAGTCTAATTTTATTGTCGCCCGTAACGTGTTTCTAGTTTCATTTTCACTATTGACATGTGCGAGTGTCTCGCATTTGTCTATGAATGAGGCACATACAGTACACGTGCAAACAACCATTTTGTTGTGCAGAGCAGACGAAATTTATCAATTTATGCAGCCTGCTTTACAGTTACGAAAGATGCGATTATCCAGTAAGGGTAAATCAAAGGAAAAACATGACTGGTTAAGAGTGTTATGAAAATAGATGGCGCTACAAATGCCATAGTATTCTAGTTCTATGGATCTACATTGTATTACTGTTGTCATTCCTTTTTAAATACGTCTCAACGATAAATCAGAAATTAACATAAATCCTTAATGGAAAAAGTTTAAAAGCCGAGTTTATGGAATTTATTAGATAATATATTACGACAACATGTATTAAATTTTCTTCCAAAAAGACAGTCTTGTCAAAATCACTGACTAAAGTTTGTCTGGGTAATCGCGCTGGCTTCATAGTAGAATTTCCTGTTTACGGACAAGACTTCAAGACTTCGTATTTTTGCCGAGTTAATTATACACCGTAGACGCGTAGATTTATAAATAGAACAGTATGATATACTTCATATTCAGTTACATATTTATGAATAAAATAAATAGATTGTTCATCGCTGAAGCCCAAAAAAATGTAACTTTACAAATGTTGTCAACAAATTTTCTCCTTACTAAATTTGACAGAATAATTAAAGAAGTGCGTGATTATTACGGATGAAAACAGACATGCCGGCAGGTCATGAGAAACCTACAATTAATTAACCGCGGCCTAATGTTGCCATAGAACGAATTTTTCCTCGTCGTATTGTTGATTGGTACGAAACTGCGGCTTCAAATGAGGTTATTTTCGTAAATATAAGGCTAGCTTTTCGCCTCATTTTCGAATTTTTACTCTACCTGCTCCATGTGCAGAGAAATCTAAACATGAAAATGAAAGTAGAAAACAACACGATTTTTTGGGGGGACGGATACCAGAATAGCATAGGGTTTAAAATATATAGATAAGAAAATACATACAGTAGAATCTGTATGAGCAGCCACTCCTATTCAGCGACATCTCCTTGTAAGCGGTCACGATAAATTCCCCCCGTAGAAATTCTGTTGTTTCATCTCTTTATTCAACGGTCACTCCTCTAACGCTGCCAGCGGTCACTATTTTACTAATAAATTCAACAAAACATCGCCCATTCAACGGCCATTGTTGAATGATACCATCTTGTCGTTCTTTGTAACACCCCCGCTAATCCCGTGAGTAGTAGTTAATTAACTGGACCCCCACTGATCAGGTAAAAAGAAATGTAAACATAACAATCAACCCGGGATTATCTGTTAATTAATCTTTTGTTTTATTAAACGACTAACCTGATCATTGTTTTCACGCGTAACGACACATTATTTGATACTGATTGAATAAAATAAAAGTACCGAGTTTTGTCACGATCATCTAGTATCTCTCTTAGCGCCTCCTATAATATTACATACAGAGTTACACCCCCTGTAAATAGGAGATAAAATTAGCGATGTTTTTTGTTCATGTGCTTTTTTGATAAAATAAAATGAATTCATCGATTTTCTTCACAAAAATGGATAAATATTATCGAATGCATCACAATGGTAGACAGTAGTATCGAAGGTTGGTACAAAATGACAAGTTTACAGAAGTTATGTCCGAGATTTGAGTAAAGAATTTTCGTCCGGCGCAAGATTCAGCGACGGCCAAATTTACCGCTTCCAATGCATCCAAGCGTAATTTTTAATTTATGTCGGCACAAAAAGCAACAAGATTTTATTAAGAGGCCACTCCCGTTAAGTTATGTCCGAGATTTGAGTAAAGAATTTTCGTTCGGCGCAAGATTCAGCGACGGCCAAATTTACCGCTTCAAATGCATCCAAGCGTAATATTTAATTTATGTCGACACAAAAAGCAACGAGATTTTATTAAGAGGCCACTCCCGTTAAGCGGTCAGTTGTGAAAATTCCCTTGGGTGGCTGCTTAATGCAGATTCTACTGTATATTAAACTTTAATTCTGCGAGTTTTCAATGAAATCGGTAGGTGCGGAGCCAAAATATGTAGTGTGGAAAATTTTTGATCCAGTTTCGCCGTGACCGCCATGTAAGAAAGTTAGTGAAATTTTATCGCTAGCGACTGCGCGCAATGGCCTCACTTTTCCTTCTTTGTTCTTCAGACAAAAGAGCGTTAATTAGCGACAATTAATTTGGCATAACTCCATTAATATAGGGCCTTTCAAGCTCATTTTGGTGTCATTGTAAAGCTGTTGGACAGCCCTATCCAGAAATAACAGAATTAAAGCCATATTGGATTTTTGAATTTTTTGTTGTCATACCTACTTGTATATAAAATGTATAACTATAAGCTTGTCAGGCCTCCCTGGAAGTTCGTCTACACGCCATGTGGTTTGAATAGTAACAGTAATACTCACCATTATTTTGTATGTAAAGTTCTGCTACAGTAAATGATCAGTTGTCTGGTAGACTGATATTTTTTGGTGAGGCTTGATATCAGTTTCAACAAATAAGATAATATAACAAAGAGAAGAATGTATCTTCGTTCTTTCTCAAATTCATTTCCGGTATAGTATGGTTTGCCGGTTGTATAATGAATATGGTCCTGGATCTATTCAATGCGAACAACTCACAAACGACAAACGAAATTTTCGTCTGATGTAAATCAAAAGTAAATGAATCTTAGGTCTCACCAACACCATATTGCAATTATTTTAAAACATATGATCGTTGTAGTCAACACTACACTTCTGAGTCTTCCGTTTATATACATGACCAGTTCTACAGCGGTGGGAATTCAGAAAGACAAGTTAACTACACTACTGGGTGTGGCGCCAGGCAGGGTAAGCTTACTCTTCCGGACACCTGTTACCACTGTTTGTCGTGTAATTTGTATACGAGGAGCAGTCCATTTGCTGATTACACTATTTTGCTTGAATACACTATTTTGCCTATAACGTTTTTTAGGACTTCGAATTCTGTCTTATGGTTTGGATTGTTCGTACTTGGTTTTATTTTATTTCACTGGAACCGGGATTCATAAATCTTGAGATGAGATCTGTCTGTGTATGGAAGTCGGGAGTCAAGAGCTATAGCTACCTTAGATACTTTAAAGCTATATTACCTTAGCTACTTTAAAACTATATTACCTTAGATACTTTAAAGCTATATTACCTTAACCCATTTAAAGCTATATTACCTTAGATCCTTTAAAGCTATATTACCCTAGATACTTTAAAGCTATATTACCTTACACCCTTGACAGCTATATTACCCTAGATACTTTAAAGCTATATTACTTTAGCTACTTTAAAGCTAGATTACCTTAGCTACTTTAAAGCTATATTACCCTAGATACTTTAAAGCTATATTACTTTAGCTACTTTAAAGCTATATTACCGTAGATACTTTAAAGCTATATTACCTTCAATGATTTAAAACTATGTTAATTTTTGTACTTTTAATAACTCATAATATAGATCATATTTTAAAGGTAGGTTGCCAGGCAGCGAAACATTCACCCACAACAGCTAAATCATCCCAGTGCCAACAAGAGTTGTCACATATTCAATCTTTTGTAGGTAATGGAAGGTCATTTACAAGGCAATTTCAGACAAATCAGATTGTAATTTTCGTCCTTGGAGGGGTCACAAGGTTCTACAAACTGAAAAAAGGGCCTTAACTCAGGAAGTAATATACCAAAATTGTTGAAATTCGACATTTTTTTTCATTTTACTAATTCATTTAATGCATAAAAAATTTGATACGGATCGAATGATAACTTTTGTCATTAGAGCATTCAAACGGTTCTACAAAGTGCAACAAGGGCCATAACTCTAGAATTTCTGAAATCCAATAGACTTTCTGCGTTTTACTAATTTAAATATTGCATATAAATGTCAAACAAATCACAGGGTTCAACAAAGTGAAACAAGGACCATAACTATAGACGTAATTAACGGAAATTGGTGAAATTCAATAAGCTTCTTGGTTTCACTAATTTAAATAATGCACATAGATTTCATACAGATCAGATGATAACTTTTGTTGTTAGAGCATTCACAGCGTTCAACAAAGTGAAACAAGGGCCATAACCCAAGAATAAATGAAGGGAAGTTATTGAAACTAAATAAGCTTCTTCGTCAAACTAATGTTAACAAAACATGTCCATTTCAAGGCAATCGGTTAATAAATGGGTCCTCAGGTTTCCTCCCACTGCTAAAGACCCCTACGCGCAAGCGAATTATTGAAATATAATTAAACCATCTGCTAGTCCCGAAACGACCAAGTTTGTGTCGAGTTGACATTAAACCCCATTTCTCTCTCTCACATAACAGTGAGTGAAGTGAATTGCAAATGAAATAGTATTTTTGTGAACTATTCGGGTTGCAAAGATCCGGGCCTATATCATATATACAACCTTCTACCGGAAGCAAATTCTTTTTCCATGACGTAACACTTTATGGAAGTTGAGGTTATTTTGTACTTCAGCGAATCACCTATTTTCAATGACTTGTAGAAGAGACAGATCAGCAATCCCCTGCTGTATTTTTATAATCGTCATTCCGCCACACAGCAGCTTCACAAATAAACAACAGAATGGTGAGTAATCCAACTACATAATCCTTAAAAGACATTTAGTAGCAGTTTCAGGTCAAAGTTTCAAATGACAAACCATTCCGCACAGACTGGGCTAATGAAGAGGGGGGTACGCCATACAGTGTGCTGTGAGGGAAATAAGATATGAACTGCATGTGTATTTGACATTTCAAGTTTTTAAAGATGTATTCTCCATGTTACAAATGTTGTTTGATGTTGTAACTTTTAAATATTACAGGAAACCAATGATGTTATAACACTTCACCAGTGTGTTGTATGTGAAGAGATTTTTAAACAATTTGATGATTTAGTAAAACACAATAAGATACATGTTAAAGATGAGAAAACTGATGATGTTGATGAATATTGTCATGTTAAAGAAGAGAAAACTGATGATGTAGATGAATATTGTCATGTTAAAGAAGAGAAAACTGATGATGTAGATGGATATTGTCATGTTAAAGAAGAGAAAACTGATGATATTGAAACTGTTTATCAGTGTAATTTGTGTGATGAAGAATTTAAATTCGAAATGGATTTAGAAAAACACTGTGAAATACATTTTAGTCAGCAAGAGAAAATTGGAGAAAGCAATTATAAGGCTGATGTTGGTGAAAAATCTTTGCAGAGACACTCAAAAACTTATACTAATAAAAAACCTTATAAATGTGATGTTTGTAAGAAATCATTTTCTCAAACTGGTCATTTACAGCACCACATCAGAATACATACAGGTGAAAAACCTTATAAATGTGGTGTTTGTAGTAAATCATTTTCTCAAACTGGTCATTTACAGGACCACATCAGAATACATACTGGTGAAAAACCTTATAAATGCAATGTTTGTAATTTGTCATTTAGTAAGAGTGGAATTCTAAAGTCTCACATCAGAATTCATACAGGTGTAAAACTTTATAAATGTGATGTTTGTAGTAAATCATTTTCTGATAGTAGTCATCTACACAACCATATTAGACTTCATACCGGAGAAAGACCTTTTACATGTGATGTTTGTAGTAAATCATTTAGTCAGAGTGGAACTCTTCAAACACACATGAGAATTCATACAGGAGAGACACGTTATAAATGTGATGTTTGTTGTAAATCATTTACTCAGCGTGGAACTCTACAGATACACATGAGAATTCATACTGGTGAAAAACCTTATAAATGTGATGTTTGTGGTAAATCATCTAGAGTGAAGGATCAGCTGCAGAGACACATAAGAATTCATACTGGCGAAAGACCATATAAATGTGATGTTTGTAGTAAATCATTTCCACAGAGTAGTAATCTACAGTCACACATGAGAATTCATACTGGTGAAAGAAAATTTAAATGTGATGTTTGTAGTAAATCATTCACCAGAAATAGTCATCTGCAGAGACACCTCAAAATTCATAGCAAAGTAAAAAAAGCGTAACAATATGGTATATCAAGGTTGTGGACTCTAAAGAGGTCACAATTTTTATCCGATTTTGTTGAAACTTGAAATGTAAGTTTATAACCCAAAGATCTTGGATCCTTTCGATATTCGCGCATATCGGCCCGTAACTTCCTCAATTATGGCCCCTGATTGTACGAAAAATCGCGTTTTTAGCTTGTGTACCCTGTAGAAGTCATAATTTTTATCCGATTTAAAAACCCGTATTATTATATCACCGTTACACCCTAAGGATGACTGATTTAGAATTTCGTGAAAATCGGTCCAAAATTGACAGACAAAATGGCCGCCGTTCGTTCTCAAATAGCGTAACAATATGGTATATCAAGGTTGTGGACTCTAAAGAGGTCACAATTTTTATCCGATTTTGTTGAAACTTGAAATGTAAGTTTATAACCCAAAGATCTTGGTTCCTTTCGATATTCGCGCATATTGGTCCGTAACTTCCTGAATTATGGTCCCTGATTGTATGAAAAATTGCGTTTTTAGCTTGTGGACCCGATAGAGATCATAATTTTTATCCGATTTAAAAAAACGTATTATTGTATCACCGTTACACCCTAAGGACGACTGAGTTCGAATTTTGTGAAAATCGGCCCAAAATTGACAGACAAAATGGCCGCCGTTCGTTCTCAAATAGCGTAACAATATGGTATATCAAGGTTGTGGACTCTAAAGAGGTCACAATTTTTATCCGATTTTGTTGAAACTTGAAATGTAAGTTTATAACCCAAAGATCTTGGATCCTTTCGATATTCGCGCATATCGGCCCGTAACTTCCTGAATTATGGCCCCTGATTGTACGAAAAATCGCGTTTTTAGCTTGTGGACCCTATAGAGGTCATAATTTTTATCCGATATAAAAAAACGTATTATTGTATCACCGTTACACCCTGGGGTCGACTGAGTTCGAATTTTGTGAAAATCGGCCCAAAATTGACAGACAAAATGGCTGCCGTTCGTTCTCAAATAGCTAAAAAATATGGTATATCAAGGTTGTGGACCCTATAGAGGTCACAATTTTTATCCGATTTTGTTGAAACTTGAAATGTAAGTTTATAACCCAAAGATCTCGGTTCCTTTCGATATTCGCGCATATCGGACTGTAACTTCCTGAATTATGATGACGTAGATGAATATAGTCATGTTAAAGAAGAGAAAACTGATGATATTGAAACATGCTATCAGTGTAATTTGTGTGATGAAGACTTTAAATTAGAAACAGAGTTAGAAAGACACTGTGAAATACATGTTAGTCAGCAAGGGCAAACAGGAGAAAAACCTTATAAATGTGATGTTTGTAGTAAATCATTTACTACTAGTAGTCATCTACAGAGACACACAAGAATTCACACTGGTGAAAAACCTTATAAATGTGATATTTGTAGTAAATCATTTACCGCTAGTAGTCATCTAGAGAATCATACCAGAATTCATTCAGGAGAAAAACCTTACAAATGTGATGTTTGTAGTAAATCATTTACTCAGAATAGTAGTCTACAGACTCACAGGAGAATTCATACAGGTGAAAAACCTTATAAATGTGATGTTTGTGGTAAATCATTTCTACTCAAATGTAATCTTCAGTCACACATAAGAATTCATTCCGGAGAAAAACCTTATGAATGTGATTTTTGTAGTAATTCATTCACACAGGGTAGAACCCTACAGAAGCACATTCAATCACACTAGTGAATAATAGTTTATTCACTGGTGGTACAGATATACATGGATATAAAACTATTACACATTATAATACACATCATAATAGTCGATGTAGATGCATTTCCTTTGTTAGTATTTTACAAACACAAACTCAATTTTGTTAAAGGAATAATTGGGTCACGCTTCCTACGCAGTCAAAAACACACACCATTTATTGTGAACTTAATTATTTGCTGTATGATTAATTAATAAAGTTGAGATTATCAGTTATTAAATGTTGATTAATGTTGATTTAATGTTATTAAATTGTTGATATAATTCCCTAAATTGATCGGCACCTGTATGTCTATCACAGATGTTAGGCCGCAATTCTGAATGGTTCAGCTTGAAACTTGGCATATGTATTTTTATAGCCTAAGGGCGGCAGCTATTGATATTGGTGCGTGGCCCGACCCCCAGGGTCAGAGCTACGGCCAATTTTTGTATTTATCGTATACAGGTTGCAATTCTAAATGGATCAGCTTGGAACTCGGCATATGTATTCCTTATACTGTAAGGATAGCAACTATTTATTTCGGTGCATGTCCCGCCCCCCAGGGGTTTGGTACCACACCCACATTTTTGTTGAATTTTTGTCTGTAAATACTCCACAAGTTGCAATAATTGCAATAATTAACAGATTTTGTTCAAATTCAGCATTTCAATAACAGGGTGGTACCTATTTATATTGTTCCATATCCAAACCCCACAGTGGCTAAGTTGGTAAGATTCAGGCTCGCTAGCCTAGAGGTTGGGTGTTCGATCATTTCAATAGCCGACGTGATTTTCTGACGTGGTTACCCTTGTCAGTGGTGCAGGATTGAGAGTCTGATGAGCACAGATGTCTAGTCGTTAGGATGGTATAAAAAAAACGAGGTCCTGTGTATACATCGGCGTGCACATAAAAGATTCCTTGGCACATAAAAGATTCCTTGGCAGTTGAAATTCGATTTAAGAGTAGGCCATAGTGCCATTGCCCAGGCAAAATTTCCCTGTAAGGCATATGCCTGCCATCTTCATTAGCCCAGTCGGAGCAGAGTAGAACATTAGGACGTTAAACCCCATTTCATTTCATATCATCTTGTATTATGTTTAAATAACCTCGCACACGGCAACTAAAATAAAAGTACCAATGGTCAAGAAAAATAATGATTTGTTTAAATCTCAAATGATATTTTTCGGTGTATAAGGCGCATGCTTAGATAAGGCGCAGGGCGACTTTGGCAGAGGTGTTTCAGGAAAAAATAAATATGCGTGGTTTAGGCGCACCCTTTCCCAGCGCGTGTGAAACTCGTGCCATAGATTATGTTACTCAAATCCACCTGCGATCTCCAGTAACTAGGTCAAACTCTATTGTTTACAGTTATAATAATTACCGATATTTAGCCGTATCAAGCTTTATATAATTATACTTCTTTATGAAATAAATTGCTTTTGTTACATTTGTTTATATTAATTATAACACGCAATTGCATTATTGCATAACTTTCAGCTGTAATTCTGTTGCTCGTACGGTAGTGAAATTGTCATTCAAGTCCCGCCCACAACAAACATGGCCGTCTATTACATCGTGTTAAATTCGTGAGTGTGTGATAAATGAATCGGTTTTGATGATAAACAAATTAAATAATACCTGTAGAAATAATATATCATGATCAGCTACTCACAACTTAAATCCTGACTACCTGTAAAAGAGAAACAACAATTCCAGTTTACTCCAAGTTATGCAAACAACTGACAATCAAACGATAGCGTCTGTTGCCCAGCACACTCCACGCGTCATGACAATACCCAGATTGTAGCCATTTAGATCTATCAGTAAAATAATACAATAGCATTTTTAATACCAATCAAAAAAACAATGATTTTGTCAACTACAAACAACTTCATAAAGAAAACGGTAACAACTCACTGGTAGATAATTAACTATACCGGTAAAATAATACAATAGCATTTTTAATACCAATCAAAGAAACAACGATTTTGTCAACTACAAACGACTTCATAAAGAAAACGATAAGAACTCACTGGTAGATAATTAACTATACCGGTAAATTATAACAATGGGCCAATCACTGAATCCATGTGGAATGAAAACCGTCGGTAACTTAAAACGGTTACTAAAAGACAGTCTTGCTCAAAGAAAACACCCCGATGTATTTAAAGGCACTATTGTTGGCAAAGGGCAAAGCCGAATATGCAACTTTCAAGGCAACATCAAGTTGGGTGTACAGATTTCTGAACCGACACGACCTATCAATTCGTAGAAGAACACATATATCACAGAAACTACCACAAGATTTTGACGACAAACTAACCAGTTTTCAAAAATTCATCATTAATCTAAGATCCAAGCATGATTACACCCTGGATCAGATAGGAAATGCAGACCAGACCCCACTGACATTTGATTTTCCAAGTAACACAACAATCCACAAAACAGGAGAGATAACAGTCAACATTAAAACAACCGGCAACGAAAAGAACAGATTCACAGTGATGTTGGCCTGTACAGCAGATGGCGGAAAGTTACCACCTTACGTCATATTTAAAAGAAAGACCCTACCTAAGAGCATGATATTTCCAAAGGGCAAAGACACAGGAAAAGGGTTGGATGGATGATAATTTAACAGCTGATTGGCTTGAAAATGTATGGGGGAAGAGACCTGGAGCTTTGAGAAAAGAAAGGCCTTCTTGTATTAGATGCTTTTAGATGCCATTGATCTGATTCGATAAAGACAGACCCCAAGAGAAAGTACTCTACCGACTTAGTCATCATTCCTGGGGGTATGACCAGTATGCTTCAACGAAAACCCGAATTAAACGTTATATGCACTTGAATACTAGAGGCGTGGAAGTCGATCAATCCAGAAATCATTATTAAATCCTTTAAGAAATGCTGCATATCAAATGCTATGGATGGGACAGAGGATGACATGTTATGGGATGAAATGGTAGAAAAGGAGCCAGCAAATAAAAGAAGAAAGGTGGTGGAAGAAGATGACGACGACAATACTCAAGATGACATCGACATTTACTACACAGACGAAAAAGTACCAGGACTTGAAGACGCCGACATTCTTCGTATTTTTGAGGAAGAGGACGAAGAAGAAGAATTTAATGGTTTTACCAAAGCAGATATCAATATAAAATAACTTTAAAATAAAACAAAAAGTGATATCTCAAATCTATACCGTGTCTAAAACTGTGCCGTGCTATAAACCGAAGAAGCTGTATGTTTTGTTTTTCTTATATCCATATTTTATTATATCTATACTGTGCCTATAATTATACTTGTGTTAATTTTTTATGTCATTAAAATATATTTTAGTCGATGGCTTAAATTTGTTCTGTTCTTCGATATATTCTGCCAGTTTAACTGTAATCCCGCCCATTAACGCTGTCATTGTAACAGACAATACCCATAGCCTATGGTATAATGAGCGTGTGCTCAATGGAAATTACCCTTCTAATAGCCAATGAAAACTCTTTGTCTGTCG